GGGAAGGCTAAAGGCAACTATGATTTGAACGTGCGAGAGGCATGGCTACTCGGTTACGCAGGCCGTAACATAACTGTGTCTATCCTTGATGACGGAATTCAATTGTAATTACCTTTCTTTACTACCATTTTTCACCATTCCATTTTTGGTATTATGCAGACTGATTAGGTTAATCTCTATTAAGGGATCATCCTGATTTGGCGGCCAATTACGATCCATTAGCAAGCACCGACATCAACGATCACGACGATGATCCAACGCCACAAAACAATGGTGAAAACAAGTGAGCTTTCGAATGAAATAGAGACAGCCGTAGTTTGGTAGCTTCCATTGTGTGTCGACCCGTTCTCCATCATTGCTGACTGTTCGATGAGTTTTCGTTTTTCGGTACAGCAATTGTTCTGTCTGTGAGTACGCGTTTTTCCTTTACAAAATTGGCTTCCAGACACGGTACCCGATGTGCAGGTGAGGTTGCAGCTATTGCTGGGAACAATCTCTGTGGAGTTGGTGTTGCGTTCAAAGCGAAAATCGGAGGGGTGAGGCTTTGAGGTGACATTTAAAAGTATCTTTCAGCTTCCAGCTATCTAAAACCAATTTCTTTCAAGGTTCGTATGCTTGATGGAGATGTGTCTGACAGTGGTGAAGCAGCATCTTTGTCTTTGAATCAAGTAAGATTTTGAAGTTGTCCAAGCTGTCCAAGCCCCTGAGGCTGGTTGAACATTTTAGAATACAAAATACGCAAGAAACGTTTTTCAACTGCAAATGCCTTGGGCGCTTAGGTAACTATTTAGGACCACATCGATATCTACTCAGCAAGTTGGGGCCCTGAGGACGATGGCAAAACATTTGATGGACCGGGACCACTTACCAGAAAAGCACTGTATACTGGAATCAAAACCGGACGACGAGGAAAAGGAAACATTTTTGTGTGGGCCAGTGGAAACGGCGGTTTGAAGTGTGTTGTAAAGATTAGTTCGGAGTTTCCCGTTATTTCATTCCTTCTGAACGCTGAGACGCCTTGGTTTGTTTATTTTGCCGACAACGCTTCAAAGTAGCTGATAGAAAGTCGAGGTTCATGTGAAGGCTTCTTTACATGAACTTCATTTGGCATAAGTTCGAGGCTACGGAATTTAACAGAAGGTTTAATAAGTCATCAGAAGCCTCCATTGTTGAGTTCTGGATTTAAGTCATGGATTCCAGTAGGTTAGCGGAGTTGTTTCTAAGCAGTATTGTAGGCTAAACCAATCTTAAATATGCCTTCCTCATTATCATCCTTTTGTTTTTCGTCCTTGTAAGAGTGGAGTGTATAACTTAAGTCGGCTTATCGCCAAGGGGAAGAATCTTATGCGAAGGAAAGCTCTACAGAGAGGCTTAAGTTAGAAAATTCTGAATTAAATACTCCTTTAAGGGAAGATTCTTGTTCGGCAGATGGGTACATCACATCTATATATACCTTGGCAATCTCTTCCGCAACATACAATAATCTAAGTCCCTGGTATTTGGAAGAATGTCCATCGTCAATCGCCACTACGTACAGCTCCTCGTATTCCACGGAACCGGCCATTGTTAGTTTCTTTCCTGACGAAGAAATGGATATACAGATTGTTCAGTAAGTAATTATGCAGTATCTAAAAGTGATGACTAATAAAAAAGATGTTAAGAGTGAGAATAAAAGAATGGGAGAAAGACGTCGCCTCATTACTCGGCGATCGGCTGATTGTGTGCGAGTCCTGGAACGAATATTGCAATGTGTATCACCTCGGCCCTCGTCTGACGTGACATCGATCGAGGGGCGGGAAGTCCGGGCGGTCCTGTAACGGGGCTCCCACTATGCCATAACTGTTGAGTTTTGGGACTCGACAGCGTTCTTCCTGTTATCCATGGGGGCACTGGGTATTCCTAGGGTATTTTATCGTGAACTGTGCCTTTAAGGTGCAGAGTGCATTTCGAAGTCTCGTCATGATGCAGCGTAGATAACCTCTATGAGCCTTTTCTTGTGGTGTGTCCCACACGAAGTAACTCGGTGGAGGTAAAGTCGGTTCTTTGTCGAGGCCTGAGCCTTCAAGCTATAATGCGGTAACCGGAGGTTCATAGATCACAGGAGTGCAATGGCCTAATCGCTGAAACCAAGTCTTCCTAGTTTTCTCCCTACTTGGTTCACCTTAGAAGGGTTTCAATCATTGCATAGCATGATACTGCATAGTTATTTTCTGGACGCCGTGTACTATATTTCACTACTTGATCGTATTGATTTGCTCCGTTCAGGTAAGCATTGATGTCCCACGAGGCTGCACTACGAA